AGTAGTACATAGTTGCAAACACATTCATTTATTGTATATATATTCTATATTGTGGTCATAAAGGAATCCCTATTTCTCCCCTTCTAGGATATTAAGTAGAGTCCTGATATAGGGGGCATCGGTTCAGTGCTTTTTGCAGATGATGTGGTTCTGATACTGACGTTGGTCTGTGTGAAGGGTTGGGGTCAGCACCTCTGAATCTGAGGTCATAGTTCTCAGCAGGAAACTTCACCCCAAGTGTAGGAGCTCAAGTACCTCGGGGTCTTATCCTTGAGTGAGGGGACAATGGAGCGTGAGATGGGCCGGATAATTAGAGCAACAGGAGCTTTACTGCACTGTTGTGATGAAGAAAGAGCTGATCTAGAACGCAAAGTTCTCGATTCACTTGATGACTTTCGTTCCTACTCTCACCTATGGTCATGAAGGATGGGTCATGATCAAAAGATCGAGGATACAAGCGGCTTAAATGGTTTTCTAGTGGCTGGCATCTCCATTAGGGATAAGGCATGTATCTCCAGTCATCCGGGAGGGACTCTGAGCCGCTGCTGCTTTGAGTAGAAAGGAGCTAGTTGAGGTGATTCGAGCACCTAGCAACCTAGTATACCTAGGGCAGACCCAGGACCAGCCGGAGGGATTTTATGTCCATGCTGGCCTGGGAGAGCCTTGGAATCCTCCAGTCAGAGCCGTTTCATGAGGGCAGGGAAAGGGAAGTTTGGGCCCTCAACTGGAACTGCTTCCTCCGCAACCCTGACTCCAGATATACGGTTGACAATGGAAGGATGGATCGACAGAAGGACAAACGTATTTCCTTCTCCGTAACAAACAAAACAAGTGATTTACAACAGCACGTGATTTTAACTGCTCACTTCACTCAGTGTCATTGGCCCAAAACATCTTTACACAGGCAACCAAACAAGACCACAAATAACAACAGTAAGATAGTGACCACATTACATGGTACTTGTTAGATGCTTCCTTGATACTACTGAAGATAAGGGAGCAAAATGTTTTCGTCCACATTGATTCTCACACAGTAAACTATAAAGCAATGAACTATCACAAACAATTAGAGCCAGTAAAGCAAATAAGCGCCTTTTAGCAACTATTTTAGAGTTTAGTTGATTTACATAATCAGATACGAAAGGGAAGGATGTCCCAAAGTTAGGAGCCACCAATATTACAATTAGAATCATCCCTTTAGTTCTCGCCTATAGCAATAACTTAGATAAAAAAGACATGATGTAAAAGAACATTTAGTACACAGTTTGTGGCAGGAAATAAGCCTGCTAGCTTTGTAGCGTTGACCTTCAGTCCAAATCTCTGAAAATATGAAAAAGCATGAAAGTCTCTGACACACACACATCCCAGAAGAGAAAACATTTGACTCGCTAGGTCACGATAACACTGGCAGATCAGTGTGTGCAGGACTATGTGTGCGTGTGTGACATGTCCTTATGAGGCAGTTGATTTGGGCTGCTGGTAGGGGGGTACTCTAATCTGGCACGCACTTGCTGGCACTACCTAGTTATTTCACTGACAGCCACTGCCCTGGGAACAAGCTCACACACACACAATACACACACAGATTCGTATACGAAATACACACTCACGAAATTCATTTCATACACACGTTCACACACACATCCGTCTGGAGGCAATGTTCTTTCTGATCTCGCTTTGGGAATGGTGGGGACAGATGGGTGAACAGTGGGAGTCTGGGCTGCCATCACTCAAAAAAGCAAAGGCACACACACACACGCACAAAAACACAAACAGGATCACAGGCTCATCCCGACTGGGTCAGAAAGTGGCAAACATGCAAGCAGACGCTCACGGAAACTCACTCTGTCTCACACACACACCCGACACACACACACCCGACACACATACACCCGACACACACACACCCGACACACACACACCCGACACACACACCAGACACATATATCAGCAAAGCCACACACATCAGAATGCTTACACGCATAAACATGTGTTCATTCAAACACACACACACACACACACACACACACACACACACACACACACACACACACACACACACACACACACACACACACACACACACACACACAGGATTACTAGAAACGTGCATACTTGCTTAGCCTATTCTCACCCTATCTGCTCCCAACCGCCCCTCTTTACATGCAACGTTTACACATCGCACAGATAAAAGGACTTGTTCTTATTTTATTTTATTTTTATTTATGATCTCTTTCAAATACAAATGTTGAGTTTCAATAGCAGCATAAATATACATTAAACCAACATTAAAATAGGAATACAAAATTGATCAAATTCAACATTTCTCAACAGAATAATGAAAATGTGCATTTGGACAACTGTATATGTTCATTTTAGTCTTCAAAATGCTGACACTTGCACACACACATACAAATATAAACTGCAAATCAGTGATATTTCACAAATCCATTGTAGCTACAGATTTTCCTCATCATTCAGCATTGTCATACATTTGTAAATCTCGTAAATATATTGTCTTTCTCGATTCGTTTGCTAGTTATCTATCATTAGGCGCAAGCTAGAGTTATTGCACGGCTTAGTTAAATACTCGATTCTGATTGGTTAATTAGAAAATTCAGAGGACTGCTATTTTTCGCTCGAGGTCAGTGAAATCAACAGAAAAAGACAAACAGGAAGTTAACAATAAAGGGAACAGCAGAAGAAGACAGACAGGAATTAAACAATAAAGGGAACAGCTGAAGAAGACAGACAGGAAGTAAACAATAAAGGGAACAGCAGCAGAAGAAGACAGACAGGAAGTAGACACTAACAGGAACAGCAGAAGAAGACAGACAGGAATTAAACAATAAAGGGAACAGCAGAAGAAGACAGACAGGAAGTAAACAATAAAGGGAACAGCAGCAGAAGAAGACAGACAGGAAGTAGACACTAACAGGAACAGCAGCAGAAGACAGACAGGAATTAAACAATAAAGGGAACAGCTGAAGAAGACAGACAGGAAGTAAACAATAAAGGGAACAGCAGCAGAAGAAGACAGACAGGAAGTAGACACTAACAGGAACAGCAGCAGAAGACAGACAGGAATTAAACAATAAAGGGAACAGCAGCAGAAGAAGACAGACAGGAAGTAAACAATAAAGGGAACAGCAGCAGAAGAAGACAGACAGGAAGTAAACAATAAAGGGAACAGCAGCAGAAGAAGACAGACAGGAAGTAGACACTAACAGGAACACAGTATGGGCTCTGCAGTGTTTAAAGACTGTTTAATGGAAAAGAAAATGTCTTGGACAGTTACAGAAAACCTCGACCAGTGCTCATTTTAAGTTACGTTGCTGACGCCGCAGTTACAGCCGTTGGTACGCAGTGGAAAGGACAATCTCTTCTCTGCTGAAGAAATATGATGATTTCAACATCAATCAAATCAAGAGCCAAATCGTTTGTTTATCTTTATGAAGCTGTGTAATAAGCGGGATAATGTGCAACGAGGCGGACATTCAGGATCCGGACGATTAGCAGATGGATCTTGAATCACCCTAAAGCTTCAAATTACCCCTTACTTGAACACTTCACAATAGCCACACCCAATACAACAGCCATGAACAGGGACATCAGAAGTTTACTGGCAGGTGGAAACCCTGAGGTAAGGACTGATTGTACCGTACCACTTATAAAGCCAGTACTGGACAGTTTGTACTTTTACCTCTCAATGAAATGATTGTTCTTTCCATTGTTATACAAACAGTGGTGTTGTTGTAAGAGAAAATGGCTGTTATTCTTATCTGATTTCTTCATCGCTCAGGGCCTCTGAATGACTTTTCCCCACATTTCTTGGCCAGTAAGCTTTTCATTGTACCCTCCCTCTTGCTTTAACGTTGTTGGTTGTGATTATTTCCTGTCTGGTTTTAGACTCTATTTGTCTGCTACTTACTGCTCATTATGATATCTCTCTGTCTCGCTGTCAGTGTTTATTTGTGGTGTTTTAGGAAATATTTGGATGAGTTCTCAGTGTCCAGGAAACACAATCTCACTGTTTATGAGTTTAGTTTGATTGCTGGAGTCTGTCGGTCAATGTTTTCCTGCTGGAATCAATCAGGCTAAAATACAAAGCACAGTAACGGCACTTGAGGTATTTGCGGGTGGCAGTGTTTACAGATCAAAATGAAAGTTTACCGCCCAATCGCATCTTATATAATATAATAAAAAACAGTCCAAATCGTTACCTTGCCAGAAATTCCTATACAATGATTACATGAAACACGTCATATCTGCATCAAATAACCAACGACTAGATTCAATACAACCCAGAAAGAGTGCAGTCAAACAACCAACTTCACAAATGGCCCCTTCAGTGTCAATGATGACGTCAAGCTAAGTAGGTGTTCCATTATTCCTGATGATAATAGAGTTGTTCAGTCATGACGTGTTTTTGTTGGCCGACCTGGAAGTTAGCGTCACAAGGGCTCCCTTGACAAGAAGCAAAGCAAACCAATCGGTAACACTGGCAAGAAGTTAAGAACATACCATAAACCTTAACTTCTTCATGTCTGTAGATCATTTTGGTGATAAAACTATAGCTGACACTGACCACATTAGCATTCTGTAGAAGTAAGCACATTTCGGGGCTCATGAATGAGATATCATGCATGTACCTCCAGGCAACTCTCAAAATGTAACACTTAAAAAGTAATTCACTTACATTCTTCTTTTTTTAATCTCTATTTTGCACTTCAATCCCATTAATTCTCGAGTTGTTGAATTATGTGGATATGAGCAAGAGGGGAGGGGGAGGTCTCTCTTTATATCAATTACCTCTGAGGTACATTTACATTTTTCATCTCATTCCATTTCATCACGATCATCCTCTGCTCTCCATCATTAAAGTTGCATCATCTATAAGCTCATTCTACCCCACGAGGCTTAGGTTCTCTAATGAGTGAATATTGCTCACGGCTCTCCACCCTCATTCTTCTTCTGTCTTTCTTCTTCTTCCTCAACAGGCGGGCAGCAGCGGCAGCTTCCACGAAGGAGGAGGCAGAGCAGTTACTCGGAAAAGAGAAGCAGGAAAAAGAAAACCTGGGGTAAGTAAACAAGTAGAGAGAGAACAGACTGCGCTCGAATTGTGAATTTCTCTCAGGAACTTTCCTAACGGAACAAAATGTCCCAGAAGTATCTAAGTTCCAGCCATGATAAGAGCTGTTTGAATTCTCTAGATCAGTGCTTCTCAAACTTTCTTCAGTAATGTACCCCCTTTGAAACATTTTCTCAGCCAATACCCCCTGACCGACCCCGAACATTTTTGATAGTTGTAATGCACGAATTACAACTAACTAAGGATATTTTCATCTTTAGGCATGAAAAAAATAACATAACGAAACATTTTCAAAACAGATTTTTCCAAGAAGTTTTTCAATTAAAGTAATATATGTTTAACAAACCAATGAACAAAATTGTATATTATGAAAAACTATGAAATACAATACACAAATTTGACATGTTTATACGAGGACCCCCTTGGTGGTTCTAGGAATATTTTATATACAATTGTGTTTTCTATTTAACTTATTGTACTAACATTATTTTTGTAATCATGCATGGTATTTTTTTAATTAACCTTTTTTTAATTTTATTTTTATCTCACGTACCCCCTGCAGTACCCCTAGGTTTCCACGTACCCCCATTTTAGAATCATTGCTCTAGATCAGGGGGGTCAAACTCAAATACACAGTGGGCCAAAATAAAAAAATGGGTACTAGTCGAGGGCCGGACTGGTTCAATGTTTATTGCAAAACTTATTGAAATGAACTTATTGCACATATTCAACCTGGAACTAACAAAGCTTAAATTATTGCCTATAAAAACAACATTAAATAATAAATAATCAGTTGCATTCATTTCTTATGGCTCTATCTGCAGCTTTTCCAGAGTCATTTCTTAGGATTACATTTTTCCACAGGCCAACAACAGCTTCAACAAAACTATTTCCCTCAAAGAAAAAACAAACATGCCCTGTTGTCTCAAGAAACAAAATGGAGAAGGAAACATCCATTAAACTCAGTGTGCTGCTCAGTGATGCTCGTTCAAGCAGATACTTGGCATCTCATCTCGGGTGCAAGGTCATCAATGTTTGGGCTCAGGCTCTGAGCTGAGGAGACCCTCAGGATTGAGTGAAGGTGTGCGTGCAACATACCAGCGGGCCAGATCTAATAGTAATTAGAAATTATCCTGGGGGCCGAAATTAAATCCACCACGGGCCGGATTTGGCCCCCGGGCCTTGAGTTTGACACATGTGCTCTAGAGCAGGAGTTCCCAACCTTTATTGTGCCAAGGACCGGCAGATACATAAAAAAAAAATCGCGGATCGGTTGTCAATTTTAACTGATTTTAATATTTACTCACCACCAGCAGGTAGCAACAGAGGCTAATTGTATGCCTGAACAACTACTAGAACAATATGCATCCAAAACATATTAACAACGTTTAAAAAAGAACCGGTGTGGTTTTTTGGTTTTTCGGAAAAACAAAAAACCGAAGTTATTCGGTTTTTAAAACAAAACGGGAAAACAGATAAATCAACGTTTTGGTTTTGTTTGTATGATTTACGGATAATCCAGTGAATGCTGGGAAAACGAGGAGAAGGCGCATTATGAAAGAGATGTCCGTGTGTGTGTGTGTGGTGTGTGTGTGTGTGTGTGTGTGTGTGTGTGTGTGTGTGTGTGTGTGTGTGTGTGTGTGTGTGTGTGTGTGTGTGTGTGTGTGTGTGTGTGTGTGTGTGTGTGTGTGTGTGTGTGGTGTGTGTGTGTGTGTGTGTGTGTGTGTGTGTGGTGTGTGTGTGTGTGTGTGTGTGTGTGTGTGTGTGTGTGTGTGTGTGTGTGTGTGTGTGTGTGTGTGTGTGTGTGTGTGTGTGTGTGTGTGTGTGTGTGACTGGCATTTGTTTTCAGAAGATATTATGATAGTGACGTTCGTTCCGGTGCACGTCCGACAGCATTTAGCACTACATCGAGAATAAGATTAAACTAATTTATTTTGGGAACACCCGCATATATGCTACCTATGGAGTTAGCCACCCGCATATAGGCTACCTATGGAGTTAGCCAGATGTGTGTAAATTACTGTTCATGGTCATTTGAAAACAAATGCCGGTGTCGGACAGACACAAACACACCGAACACACAGAGCTGAGCTGAGCAGAGCACATACACACATCATGCGCCTTGGTAACTGGACATCTCCTTCATAAAACTAATAAAAGTTTGATGTGTGTAGAGATGTGTGTAGAGGTGTGTGTGGTTAACACGTAGCAGCCTGCAGTCACTCTTAAGCTGTTCTGATGAAGGTAAACACAGCTCTTGGTGCGCTGGTGCTGCACTTCTCAGAGGCGGAGTTACACGTCCCGCTGCCTCCTGATGCTGCAGCCATTTCATGAAGTGAAGGAGGCTTTCCTTCTATCAAACAGCTGCGGGCAGCAGATACCGTGAGAGTCCAGGACATGAATTCATAGATCAAGGCAGACTGGTTTACAAACTCTCCTGTTTTGCCAATCCGGTGCTTAAACAAATAGCTCTACACCCCTGGCCGACATGTCCTTAAAATGAAGTCCGAATTTGAAATATATCTCAAATAATGTATGCACTGCCATTTCACCACATTAACATAACAGTCTGTAATTAAACGGTTGTCTCCTGTGCGCTCCTCTTCCTACTTGGCGCACCGGTAACTTTCTCGTGCGCATGAGAGGCTGAGACCCTGAGCCGCCGAATCCCTCGGAACATCATAAAAGCCATTTTCAACGGTTTTCTGGTGAAAGATTAACTTTAACTTACTGGATGAAATAATATGACTGGTATAGGTGCAAAAATTATTATGATAAAATATTTTTATATATTTATAATTCTGCAAATATTACGATAAACTCACAGCTATTTCGCGGCCCGGCTTTAGAGTCTAGATGATAGGATTTCGTTTTTCTTTATTATCTCCTTAAGCTTAGGATACACTCGACCATCCTTTACGAAAGGAGGGGAGACAATGCCGTCCCATAATACCTTGCGACCGCAAAATTTACTCTGAGAAAACATTCTGCTGTTCATGGAACCGACCGATCGTGACCGAGAAACGCAGATTGTCTAAGATACGGTACTTATTCTGTATTCTACAATTTATGTTGTAACTTATATGTTTTTAACTTTCAACATCTCTAAGTGGTTAACCAATCACAAGAGAGCCTGCTAACTAACCAATCAGAGCAGAGTGGGCTCTGGTTTCAGACAGAGGGTGAAAAGAGGTGCTGCAGCACAGGCAGTATGAGAAAAATAAAGAGCTTTTTGAACATTAAAGCATGGAGACATGTCACAGTAGAGACACATTAGCATACGATGGCCCCTTTACGTAATAGTTGTTAGGAAAAGTCGTATGACCTGATTTTTTGACAATTTCCAAGGTTTAGTAAAGCTAAAGATGAAACACAAGAACAAAAGATGAAAAAGTCTGCATCCCCCTGATTGGCTGTCAGTTCCTTGACCAGATGCTTGACAGGAAGGCCAGATGGGAAACAACTGTGTGAGATGATAGAGGAAAAACCAATAAAAGAGGGAATGGAAAAACACAGGAGTGAAAGTGAAATCAGCTAACCCACTGGCTATTTCCTGGAAATAAAGAGAGGGATTGAAAGAGACGTGACAGGAGAGGAGGGAGGAGAGATGCCTTTCAATCAGGCCGCTGACGGGGAAAGTTGCTAAATGAGGAAACCATGGAGAGAGCAAAGGCATGCAGTCCCTCTCTCTCCCTCTCTGGTTTTCACTATCTTAGCCTTATCACCTTTGACAGATCTGGCTCATATCTGTTCCTCCATTTGGTGCTGTCAGCCTTATGATTTATGTCATCTGACATTATAAAACCGGCTCCCGTGACAGGCATTTCCCTCACACACTCTGCACAAACACACACACACACACTCAAGGAGAAGCTCAGAGTCTCCCCTCTCATCCTGTCTCGTCTTAGACTCCGTTCATTTTTGATCACCTTAAGCCACAAACCCTGGAAAAGAAAAACAACAACCACTCAACCCTACTGAGCGCACACAAACTCTCTGCACGCAAGACCAGACTTATAGATGAGTTTGCCTGTGAGTATCAAAACTAGTGTGTGTTCGTGCAAGTGTGTGTGTGTGTGTGTACCTGTGTGAAGTTTGGCAATGTAACTAAGTACATTTACTCAAGAATCGTACTTTTTTTTACATGCGTGTACTCTTCTTGAGTGTTTCCAATTTATGCTTCTTTAAACTTCTACTCCACTTCATTTCAGAGGCAGATATTGTTTTAATCCCCAACACTTATAGCTACTGATTTATTTTACATATTACATTACATTACATTTAGCTGTCGCTTTTATCCAAAGCGACTTACAATAAGTGCATTCGACCAGGAAGACACAACCTTGAAGAAAACAGAATCATATAAGTACATCAGGTTTCATAGAGCCAAACATTTCAAGTGCTACTCAACTGGCTTTAGGTAAGCCAGTCCTTTATTAGTATATAAGTGCTTTGTATTTTATTAAAACATATATCATTACATGTGTTTACAACTGATCAATGTGTATTTTCCTAAATACATAAAATTGTCTCCACATTGCAACATTCAAATGTTCACAGCCTTTCCGCAGAAATAGTACTCAGTACTTACCAAGTATATTTTGATGATAACTTTTTTGTAGTTTTACTTTTAATCCAGATTTTAAGGGGCTATATAACATATTACACACTACAGGAAAGGACAACCCAAAAAAACATAATCGGGTCCCTTTAAATTCATATCCATCTGCCTGGTGCGCAGTGTTGGAAGAAGTACTCAAATCTTTAACTAAGTAAAAGTAAATATACTCTGTTACACAAGAAAAAGACATTAAAATGTTTACATAAGTTAAAGTACAAAAGTATTGGCATCAAAATAAACTTAAAGTAATAGTACTTATTGTGCATAAGATAATGAAGTATTGAACAGATGTACTTAGCTACTTTCCATCACTCCTGGTTTGTGTCAGTGCGTACCCACCTGTGTGTGTGTGTGTGTGTGTGTGTGTGTGTGTGTGTGTGTGTGTGTGTGTGTGTGTGTGTGTGTGTGTGTGTGTGTGTGTGTGTGTGTGTGTGTGTGTGTGTGTGTGTGTGTGTGTGTGTGTGTGTGTGTGTGTGTGTGTGTGTGTGTGGTGTGTGTGTGTGTGTGTGTGTGTGTGTGTGTGTGTGTGTGTGTGTGTTGTGTGTTGTGGTGTGTGTGTGTAAAAATTGGAAACTGTTCACTGTGCTCTCGCCCACATGTAGCTTCTAGAGTGTTCTTGGAATAACAGAATGTTCTATTCCGGCACTTTAGTTTTCCACGTCCCCTCTCTTTGCATGGATTTGTGACTCCATTCAGCATGTGTGTGTGTGTGAGTGTGTGTGTGTGTGTGTGTGTGTGTGTGTGTGTGTGCGTCTCGATGATCTGTCATGTTGCTCAAAGTACTTTTGGTCTGAACATATTTCTTTGAGAGAGAGAGAGAGAGAGAGAGAGAGAGAGAGATGGAGGGAGGGAGGGGAGGGAGGAGGGAGAGTGCTGTAAAACATGGCTGTGCCCTCTTTCTGAGGACATGCCGGTTACATCAGTCCGACATCTGACATTCAAGTGTTTTATTTATTTCATGTCTTGCTTTCTTTTTCTGTTTTTAATTCTGAATTTCTTGTTTTCTATGGATTACAAAATAAAACATTTTAGAGCGTTCAAACACGTTGTACGAACATAATTAGATTTCCACAGAAAATCACGAACATAACAAGGAGGATTGTGTGACTACAGTCTCATCATTTATTTATATTTATTAATTATTAGCTGCTCGTCTCATTTTAAATGCAAGCTCAAACTGAAAGCAGTGTGTCATCTGTTCAAGGTCATCCTGTTTGAACCCTCCGACTGTTTTAACATTATATGTGGCACATAAAAGTGACAGACAAGTTTTTGGTGTCAGTATTTTATTATAAAAAGTAGTCTTAAGCGGCTGGTACTAAAAAGTGAGCATCTGTTCAGCTTGTGTTAACCACACACGTTACTCAGGCTGCTGAATGCAAACACACCGACTCATTCCTGCACCACTCCTGTATGAATGTGTATCTCATGTTTCTTGTCTTCATATTTGTCATTGTTGATGTTGCAAATGGAGCTCCTGTGAAACATCCCAGACTTGATCTGTCAATAAAGTATTATTGTATCGTAACATAGAATAAGAAAGGCACTCTCAAACCTGATCCTGCTTATGGGAATCTTTACATCCTCCAATCTTGACTTGCAGACTTCAATAACACGTGTGTGTCGTCTACATACCACCATAAACAACTGTCTCAGACATTCGAACGTCACACAAGTAGTTTAAGGTCAGTCACCTATTTGTGGCTTTAGGTTTTGACATGCAGGACACTTTAAATATAGTATTTACAGTACATACGAGGCAACACTCTTCAACACACTTTGCATGATTGAACGAGGAAGCAGCTGCATTTTTAAAACGTATCCAGGGAGAGTTTTCACAGAACATACAGTCTGCTCTTTTTCAGAAAGGCACACAGTTACACACATTCACACCAGAGCTTTCTGCTCGTACACGCTGTTAAACTCCACCGGAGCATGTGGGGATTAAAAGTCAAAGTCTTTGTTAAGAAGGGGGTAAGAGAGAGTTGCCTGAAGAATTTCCTCAACAATTTGGAATTCCAGCTACAACCACACCTTTAATGGCTAACGTCGTCTTATTCACACACTTGTCAAATTAATAGCACTTGTTAGCAGCTACCTGGGAGGCTATCAACACTCCTGTGCCAATCTCTATGTGACAGCTCCCGTAAGATGTTCGGACATGTTAGCAGATGAAGTACTGTCAATGAATTGAGGTTACAATAATGAAATGCTGTGTGTTTGTGTGTGTCAGAGGAGTGTGTGTGCGGCAGCGGCAGGCCCTGCGATCG